GGACATGTTTCTAATATTTTTGGACTTAACATTTTCCATTTCCCGTTTATATTTTTAAAGTTCAGTAGTCTCCACAATGTTTGAAATATTTGAAATTTGTATTAACAACAGAAAATAAATAAAATCGTCCCTTTGCCAGACAATAGCCTTGTTTTTCACTTCCACCACGCCCCAGCAATTTTGTAAAGACAGATCAAACGCTTTCTCGACAACGACCTTTTACAAAGAATAAGATCAAAATAAATTTATAAAACCGGGCCTTCAATAACAATTGAAGTTAAAGGTTAGCAGTAAAATAAGACGGTTTTGTCCTACAAAAAGTAAGTTGTGTAACAGAACAACGGGTGAGGACGTTTCAAAACGTCACTGGGGCTGTGTCGTGTCAGTCCTGCTATCAGATAACACAACTATTATTTCTATCACGAAATAACTTTCGTTAGTAGTTCTTACAATTTTCCAAACGTTTCCGAATCGCTGGCCTGAGATTTCCATAGTGAGAATAATTCCTTCTGCCCCGATAAAGCCGAGGGCCTTCGCGTGGAAAAATCCTTATAAAGTATTAAGAAATATTCTCGATAGGAGTAGCGTTTGAGGGCTAACGAAGGCCTGAGGACAAGTATGGACGTGGTTCGAGTGATAGTGATCTGAAAAATGTGATGTGTCCAGTTGGTAAGCTGTCCCAAACAGGACTTAGAGAAGGAGCTTTATGTCCTCAACATTCTTCTCCACGTTTATTCCTCAAGAGTCCTGTCGCGAGAGATTATTCCTAAGAAGAAGAGGTTTCCAACCGACTGGAATATTCAAATTTATCAAATGTGAACGTGCTAGACTTACACGAACTGATTTTTCCTCCTGTATTTCTATTTTATTTTATTGATTTTATTATTTTTTAAACAAAATTGAAACAAACTCAAAAGAGAAATGTGATCAACGTAACATAAAAAGATACATAAGCAGCCAAATTGTTTTCATTGGTATTAAAATTATTTCGAGGGGTGATATTATTAAATTAAAATGTAATACTTGTAAAAGACAAGATCTTCCTCCCCGTAAAAAAAAAATTAAAAAATCCATTATATTTAGTGGTCTGATTGACCAAATTACTTCTTTCAATTAATTAATCTTTTTATATATAGGGTTGGTTGAGATGAAAAAGTTAAGTTCACGAGTGGGATTCGAACCCACATAGCCGAAGGTCGTGGGTTCGAATCCCACTCGTGACACTGATTTTTTCATCTCAACCAAGCCTTTACATAAAAAGGTTCATTAAGTTTTAAAAAATATTTATTACAATATTTTATTGTAGTGTTTTTTTGAGAACTGATAATACATCACCATCTGTATGACAAAAGTTGCGCCCATGAAATTTCTTAAATTTCTTTTCAGTTTGGCAACATAAAAATGTCCACCGGCGATAAGTGTTGAAAATTTCAGGAGGTGTTTCTACCCACCGTATGCAACAAAAAACCTCCTATAAACCCTTGTCCAAATCTCAACTGTAAAGAAGTAATTTCAGGTTTTGGGTTTGTTTTTTTTTTTAATTATCGACTTAGGTCCACCAAATTGCTTATAAACATCAGAATTACTGTCTGTAGAAAAATCTGGTTCGTGCCATCTGAAAGAACGTTAAATTTTCTGTAAGAGAACTTATTTATATTGCAGAATTGATAGAAAAGTTCTGCACGAAAAATTTAGAAAAAACAAAAATGTTGAATTTTGGAATTTTTGAAAATGTTGGATTGGTAACTGTTAATAACTACAAGCCCCTGCGGCTTTGCAAATTCCCTCAAAAGTTCTCCAATCCATTAGCTTCCAGCGGTATACCTAACTTTTTTACTTACGCTTCTGGAAGGCTCAAAAATTTTGCATTTTGTTTTAAAAAAACTTGAGTTGATGAAAGAGTGCACGCTCAATTTTCCAAGAAATCCGTCTGGCTCGTGAGTTTCGTGTCAGTTCTTTATTGTTCAATTCAATCAGTTTGCTTTATGCTATCAGCTGACAACTTCCTCAGGTTGGTGCATCGAGACGTTCCAACAGATCGCACCTTTTAACGACTTCGTCATAGGCTGAGGGAAACTGGTTCTTTCACTCGAAAAACGAGGGAAGAAATTTTGCATTATGTTAATCGTGATCGCAAAACCAGTACACGTGCGTTATGTATAGACCTTGGTGTTTCACAATGGAGAGTTTGGGATGGATTGCACCCTTACCATTTTTCAAATTTTGGAACGTCATCCCTTGGAGTAATTTTAATACTAATGAAAACAATTTGACTGTTTATGTATTTTTTATGTTACGTTGTTCACACTTTTCTTTTGAGGTCATGGAGTCACCTACAATAAAATATTGTAATAAACTTTTTAATTTTTTTTTGGGGGGGGGCGATATAATAGCTTGTCTTTTACAAGTATTATATTTTATTTTAATAACGTCATCCCTTGGAGTAATTTTAATACTAATGTAAACAATTTGACTGTTTATGTATTTTTTATGTTACGTTGATCACACTTTTCTTTTGAGGTTGTTTCAATTTTGTTTAGAAAATAATAAAAGTAAGCAAAAAAAACTCTCTGGCTATCTTCAGTGAGGAACTGCCTTTGTTGTGCATATATTTCTAACTTATTATTTATTATTACATTTTTGTTAAACTTAGACAAGAATATCCTCTGAAATGAGAATTCATTTTAAAAAAGTCACAAAACCCAACGATTCTTTCAGTAAAGTAAGCCAAAAACATTTTTGGTGAAAAAAATCTATCTGTCAATCTTCGACGGGGATTTCTTCCTGCTTTTGTTGTGCATACACTTCAAGGTTATTATTTATTATTACATCTGTTTTTAACTTAGTTAAGAAAATAATATGCATGATCGTCTGAATAAGAATAGAAATAAAAAACGGTACAAAACCCAAATATTCTTTCAGTAAAGTAAGCCAAAATCATTTTTGTTGAAAAAAATACTATCTGGCAATCTTCAATGAGGAACTGCCTTTGTCGTTTTATAAGATATTAAAAATTCCAATTCCTTATTAACTCTTCTAAAGATTTAAGAGTTTCTGGTTAGAGAGTGATTTATGGAATCAAAAGCCTTTTGAATTTATTCAACTACAGGGTGATTGGCGATAAGTGTCGAAAATTTCAGGAGGTGTTTCTACTCACAATAAGCAACAAAAAACTTCCTTTTTTAACACCATTTTACGAGGGTGCAAAGTGGAACGAAATGACCACCAGCAAGAATGAGGAAAAAATCAAATCGCTGCTGGTCGTCATTTCGTTCCAAAATTTGCACCCTCGTAAAATGGTGTTAAAAAAGGAAGTTTTTGTTGCATATGGTGAGTAGAAACACCTCCTGAAATTTTCGACACTTATCGCCAGTCACCCTGTAGTTGAATAAATTCAAAAGGCTTTTGATTCCATAAATCACTCTCACTTAATCAGAAACTCTTAAATCTTTAGAAGAGTTAATAAGGAATTGAAATTTTTAATATCTTACATTTTTTTATTATGGTGTGTACTGTATTGTAACAAAATTACATTCTAGTTTTGCATGTGATGATGTGGGATTATGTCCGGTGACCCACCGTTTTAGGAGCTTAGTTTGGGGATGATTGTTTTCTATGAACGCTTACTTTACTGAAAAAATCGTGGGGTTTTGTAACCTTTTTTATGTCTATTCTCGTTTCAGACAATCCTGCGTATTATTTTCTTATCTAAGGTAAACAAACGAATGTAATAATAAATAATAACCTGGAAGTACATGCAGAACAAAAGGAGTTCCTCATTGAAGATTGCGAGATAATGTTTTTTCAACAAAAATGTTTTTGGCTTACTTTACTGAAAGAATCTTTCTAAATTCTTTTTATCTCTATCCTCATTTCAGACAATCCTGCATATTATTTATTATCTAAGTTAAAACAAATGTAATAATAAATAATAACCTTGAATGTATGCACAACAAAAGCAGGAAGAAATCCTCGTCGAAGATTGACAGATGGAGTTTTTTCACCAAAAATGTTTTTTGCTTACTTTGCTGACAGACTCGTTGGGTTTTGTGACTTTTTTTTAAGTGAATTCTCATTTCAGAGGATCGTGCATATTACATTCTTATCTAAGGTTAACAAAAATGTAATAATAAATAATAAGTTAGAAATATATGCACAACAAAGGCAGTTCCTCACTGAAGATAGCCAGATAGTTTTTTAATTTTTTTGCTTACTTTTATTATTTTCTAAATAAAATTGAAACAATCTCAAAAGAAAAGTGTGATCAACGTAACATAAAAAATACATAAACAGTCAAATTGTTTTCATTAGTAATAAAATTACTCCAAGGGATGACGTTATTAAAATAAAATGTAATACTTGTAAAAAACAAGATATTATATCTCTCCCTCACAAAAAAAATTTAAAAAAGTTTATTAAAATATTTTATTGTAGGTGACACCATGACCGTCTGGAGTATGTGACAACAGTCGTGTAATTTCTTAAATTTATTTTCAGTCAGGCAAAATAAAAACGTACTCGTTATAGTTGTATAAATTCAAAAGGCTTTTGATTCCATAAATCACTCTCACTTAACCAGAAACTCTTAAAACTTTGGAATACTTAATAAGGAATTGAAATTTTTAATATCTTATAATTTTTTTATTATAGTATATAAATTATTGTAAGAAAATTATATTCTAGTTTTGCCTGATTTACAGTAAGTAGGGTGCTTGCGTTATGGCACTAATTCAAGTGACATGATGTGGGATAATGTCCGGTGACCCACTTTTTTAGGAGCATAGTTTGGGATGATTATTTTCTATGATTGCGTTCATTTAGAAAAAAAATGTCTTCCTTGGTTTCGTTGATAATAGCATACTAACACATTGCACACATTACAACGATTAGGTGATTAGCTTTGTCTTAGTAATGTACCATGGATGTTCAAAGATGCTGAAATTTTAATACACTGTCATTATGGTTGGGGAATAATTTTTTTTTAATTGTTATGTTTACAGATGACAACGGCCGTGTCGAGTACAACATAATATCCGGCAACGACGATTCCGTGTTCGAGATCGACATCGACAACGGTACGATCCGGACCCGAAGAAATTTGGACAGGGAGGCCAAGTCTTTGTATAATTTGGTGGTTATGGCGTCCGATCAGGCGAAACTACCTCCGCACCGTCTCTCTTCCACAGTCCAGGTAAACATATGATTAGAGCCTAGAGTTGTGTACAAAACCAGTTTACGCCACCTTTTTTTTCTGTTTGTTCGAGCCGGCCTTCCGCTCTGACGGATTTAAAATAAATCTCGGCTTAGAAGTTATCTCCTGGGCATAACCAGGAAACAAATTTCCAAGTCGACACTTCGGACACAGTTTTTTTTTCTATATAATAGACCTCTTTTGAAATCGAGTAAGGGTTTATCCTTTTTTGTAGGTGAGCGTGGTTGTCAAGGATGTCAACGATATGTGGCCAGAGATTGTACCGCCGAAGGAAGCGTCGGTGGTCGAAAATGCAGCCGCCGGGACGTTGGTCCTCATCATCAAGGCTGTCGACAAGGACGAAGGAAGAAACGGTTACATCGAGTACAGACTAAGCGGCGAAGGGGCTTCTTCTTTCACCCTGGGTGCGGTCGACGGCCTCCTCAGGGTGTCTCAACCCCTTGACAGGGAAAGCAAGGCCAACTACACCCTCGAAGTGACGGCCAGAGACCGGGGAGAACCTCCTAAATCGACCAAAACCGCCCTTTTTGTCAACGTGCTCGACATGAACGACAATTCGCCAGTTTTCGACCCGAAACAGTATTCAGCCTCTGTACCAGAAAACGCCAGCATCGGTGCAAGTGTCCTTCAGGTATTTGAAATTTTCTCTTTCATTTTATCCTTCCTAATCGCCTTATTTGGACGATTTACTCTGGCGTCTAAGCACGGAACAAGTTAAATCGATTACACTTAAAACTAACTATTCCTGTTTTGTCAGACAGTTATAATTATTATTTATGACATTATTTAAGTATCTTGTGTACTATACTTATCTAAACCACCTTGTAATCACAAGAAGCGGACCGTTTTGCATAAATTTAACCGTGCTCTATTAAGTTGTAAAGTATGAAATGTCAGTCGTGAGGTATGAAGTTAGAATAATTACAATATTGACCGTAAATTTCTATCTATCGCGATGCAGCAATTTAAACCCCGTTTAGAGCAAAAATCCATCACTCCTTTCACATTCGCAATTTACTAGGTCACTATACTTATTTTTGATTTCTTTTCATTGCTCTTTTATTTTTATTTAATGATGACCCAACTGTGTCCAAACTATTGCCGCACAGTTCAAGATTAGTGTCAGCAATAGAACTCATCCTTATATATTTATGAAAAAAAGGTGGCTTTTGAGACCGACAGGCTCATGACATGCAACGAAATAAAGCCTGATATAANGTATGTGACAACAGTCGTGTAATTTCTTAAATTTATTTTCAGTCAGGCAAAATAAAAACGTACTCGTTATAGTTGTATAAATTCAAAAGGCTTTTGATTCCATTCTCACTTAACCAGAAACTCTTAAAACTTTGGAATACTTAATAAGGAATTGAAATTTTTAATATCTTATAATTTTTTTATTATAGTATATAAATTATTGTAAGAAAATTATATTCTAGTTTTGCCTGATTTACAGTAAGTAGGGTGCTTGCGTTATGGCACTAATTCAAGTGACATGATGTGGGATAATGTCCGGTGACCCACTTTTTTAGGAGCATAGTTTGGGATGATTATTTTCTATGATTGCGTTCATTTAGAAAAAAAATGTCTTCCTTGGTTTCGTTGATAATAGCATACTAACACATTGCACACATTACAACGATTAGGTGATTAGCTTTGTCTTAGTAATGTACCATGGATGTTCAAAGATGCTGAAATTTTAATACACTGTCATTATGGTTGGGGAATAATTTTTTTTTAATTGTTATGTTTACAGATGACAACGGCCGTGTCGAGTACAACATAATATCCGGCAACGACGATTCCGTGTTCGAGATCGACATCGACAACGGTACGATCCGGACCCGAAGAAATTTGGACAGGGAGGCCAAGTCTTTGTATAATTTGGTGGTTATGGCGTCCGATCAGGCGAAACTACCTCCGCACCGTCTCTCTTCCACAGTCCAGGTAAACATATGATTAGCGCCTAGAGTTGTGTACAAAACCAGTTTACGCCACCTTTTTTTTCTGTTTGTTCGAGCCGGCCTTCCGCTCTGACGGATTTAAAATAAATCTCGGCTTAGAAGTTATCTCCTGGGCATAGCCAGGAAACAAATTTCCAAGTCGACACTTCGGACACAGTTTTTTTTTCTATATAATAGACCTCTTTTGAAATCGAGTAAGGGTTTATCCTTTTTTGTAGGTGAGCGTGGTTGTCAAGGATGTCAACGATATGTGGCCAGAGATTGTACCGCCGAAGGAAGCGTCGGTGGTCGAAAATGCAGCCGCCGGGACGTTGGTCCTCATCATCAAGGCTGTCGACAAGGACGAAGGAAGAAACGGTTACATCGAGTACAGACTAAGCGGCGAAGGGGCTTCTTCTTTCACCCTGGGTGCGGTCGACGGCCTCCTCAGGGTGTCTCAACCCCTTGACAGGGAAAGCAAGGCCAACTACACCCTCGAAGTGACGGCCAGAGACCGGGGAGAACCTCCTAAATCGACCAAAACCGCCCTTTTTGTCAACGTGCTCGACATGAACGACAATTCGCCAGTTTTCGACCCGAAACAGTATTCAGCCTCTGTACCAGAAAACGCCAGCATCGGTGCAAGTGTCCTTCAGGTATTTGAAATTTTCTCTTTCATTTTATCCTTCCTAATCGCCTTATTTGGACGATTTACTCTGGCGTCTAAGCACGGAACAAGTTAAATCGATTACACTTAAAACTAACTATTCCTGTTTTGTCAGACAGTTATAATTATTATTTATGACATTATTTAAGTATCTTGTGTACTATACTTATCTAAACCACCTTGTAATCACAAGAAGCGGACCGTTTTGCATAAATTTAACCGTGCTCTATTAAGTTGTAAAGTATGAAATGTCAGTCGTGAGGTATGAAGTTAGAATAATTACAATATTGACCGTAAATTTCTATCTATCGCGATGCAGCAATTTAAACCCCGTTTAGAGCAAAAATCCATCACTCCTTTCACATTCGCAATTTACTAGGTCACTATACTTATTTTTGATTTCTTTTCATTGCTCTTTTATTTTTATTTAATGATGACCCAACTGTGTCCAAACTATTGCCGCACAGTTCAAGATTAGTGTCAGCAATAGAACTCATCCTTATATATTTATGAAAAAAAGGTGGCTTTTGAGACCGACAGGCTCATGACATGCAACGAAATAAAGCCTGATATAAGAGGGCCCACCATAAAATTCTGGAAAGAATTCAAATAAATTAGATGTTATAACGGTGTTGGCAAAATGAGAGAAAAGCTCAATTTTGACCCTTCCATGTAGACTTAGATAATAGAAACCTTAGGAAGAAAGGTGGCCCCTGGTTTCAAGAAAGGAATAGGGTAAAGATGGGTCGGAACAGGGAGTAGGCGTAGGGATAAAAGGGACCTTAGCAAAAGTCCCTTCGACTAACCCCAACTATTTTCCAAGCTGAAGCCCATGCAACTTTGTTTGTAGTTAAAGAAAAACATGAAAGGTGCCCAGATTAACATACTCTCAGGCACTGAATGGCTTTCCACTCCGAAATTGCCTAATGCCTCTAGGGGTAACAAAACAATATTACTTTAAAGTAGGTTCGGACATGAAGGTGTAGAAGGAAAGTAACAGGCTGACCAACTAGCCAAAAAGGGCACGAACGCTCTGGATCTAGGTATTGTCTTGAAGAAAAAAGCAAATTGACACATTTAAATTTTTTTATAGGCGATCTCAAATTTACTTGAAGACCGACTCAGTAATAACATTTCCAAGGACGGTAATTTGCAAAACCAAATAACAAGTGGAATCTGTAGACATATTTAAGATTTTTTTACCTGTTGATGACTTCAAAATAGGTCGAAAGCTTAGCAGTAATAACAGAATTTGCTTTTTTTCTTCATGAGGGAAACAGTGCCCAGTAAGTCTAACATTGAAAAAAGGGGCAGACCTTTTACCAATGCGACCAGAACCAAAACTAAGTACACCGGAGTATGTGCTTAATTTGGAACTGAAAAAAATGGAATGAGAAAGAAAATCTCAAGCACTGGAAAAAGCGTATGAGGCAAGCTAAGAGATTTATAAATCTCTCAAAAAGGAAAGCGAATGAACTCCTCTCTCTCAGCAGATAGGATTTGAGGAAAAACGTCTTTTTTACTGTCATCTTAAGAAAACGGGCAAAGCACAGAAACATGCCGACGCTGAAGAAAACCAGAAACATTTGTACATATCGTTTGTGGATGTGAAACATTAGCATCGGTTATGTTGCAGCTACTTCGGTAGGACATCACACCAAAGGATGCCCAAGAATAGGCACCAAGGAAAGTGCTTAGTCTTATAAGAAAAAGCGCACTTTCCAAGGCATGACTAAAATGTATAGGGGTTCCACAATAGATCTATTTAGGTCGAGGTGGAGTAAAAGATTGTCATAATCATTAACCCCCAACCATCTTAACAATTTTTTTAAGATACAAAATACATGGCAAGATCTAGGGAGGTATGGCATCGTAAGAGGTAAACGTTCCCCGGCTTTCACCATGACCGGTGTATTGTTAAAAAACATTATTCATCTTTTAAACAATGTATCGTTAACTATATGAAAGCAAATAGCTATTAACTTAATTTTAAACCAATAAAGGACTGGACTACACAGTTCAGAACACCACTTTCTGGATTGCCACAGGTGCTTTTAAATCGAGCCCCATCAGCAGCCTCCATGTCGATGCTGGTGAAATCCCCCTGAACTCAGATATGACTTCGTAGACTTAAAGTTGTTATTGAAAATCATAGCTTCATCCAAAAAATCCTCTTACCCGCCTTTTCTCTACATCCAACCATACCAACAGTAGTTCAAATCAAACAACCAGGCACATGCACTTTGCTAACGGAACATCCTTCCTCAAAGGCGGGAACTTCATATTTCGATACCACCCATTCAAAAACAATCAACAGTCACTCTCCCTCCCTGGGTTTTACCCAAACCGTAAATTCATTATTCACTGACTAGATACAGTAAAGCAGGTACTCTTTCTTATATATACAAACTAGAATTTCTAAAGATTATGGGATGCTATGCCTAGAGCTACTTTTGTCTATACCGACGGCTCTAATGGACCTGAGTAGGAGCCACTTGTTGAGCCGTTGCTTTGCATTGGAAGATGATATGGGTGGCAGTTTCCTCCTTTTCATTACATAATCTGCAGAAGGGATCATCGATGTATATGCCCATGTTGTTAGATGTTTCCTCAAATGCCAGTGTCCGGTTAGACCTACCGCTCCTCTGAGTTTAGTCTCCTTTCCAATTGCAGCAGTGATTTTGTTAGTCTTGGTGAGGGTTGTTTCATCATAAGTTTACTGTCTAGCGCCGCTAGAGTTTATCCACTTCTCCTTTTGTTTGGATCCATTCTGCAATGGAGGATTCTATATTTGTTTTTGCTATCCCAAGTATACATTCGGGGCCTATGTATGGTCTTGCAGATCCTCCTCTGGCCAGTCTGTCTGCTTTCTCATTGCCCTAAGTTCCTCTGTGCCTTGGGACCCAAAATATCATCAAGTTGTTGTGTTTCCCCATGTTTTTGAAATTTGGGATTTATTCACTGACTAATTTTGATTTGGTTCTTTTACATGCTAATGCTTTAATGGCTGCTTGGCTGTCAGATCTTATGATGATTTTTTTGCCAGTGTAACCTCTTTTAAGTTTTTCCAGGGCCCAAGCATTGTTGGCATGTATTTCTGCTTGAAAAACCGAAGTATACTTCTCTAATGAGTTGGATTGCTCATGTTTTGGGGTGTTTCTCACTGAAGATGGAGCAATGCCGAAACGCGTTTGAATAACTCAAAAGAAAAAACCCGCGAGAGAAGACAAACCCAATAGTGGCCGAGTGCCGGTTCAACATAATTCACCGACTCGCAGACCAAAACCCATCTTCTACGATAGTTGGAATGTTTGGTTGAACCCCTCAGTTCAATGCCGTATGTCCAAATGGCGTCAGTTTTGCTCTTTTGCTTAGAAGTCGTGAAATTGTTTTGTAACGTCTGTTCGGTTTATATATATATACCGATACAGTCCGAGATTAGTGTTGGTTTGGTTCAACTTGTTCTCATCTACTTGATGACCAGGGAACACCCCCTCAACTATATTTCATGTAGATTTGTATAATTTCTTCCATGGTGTCGTTAATTTAAGGCTGTGATTCGACAGGAGTTTCCTGCTTTATTCGCTTTTATTAACGGTTTGTGTTTGATGCAGGTGTCTGCGACGGACGTTGACGAAGGTATGAATGGTCGGATCCGATACGCTATAGTCGGAGGAGACGACAACAGGGACTTTTCCATCGGCGAGGACACCGGGGTGGTTCGCGTAGCCAAGAACTTGAACTTCGAGAGGAAGTCGCGTTACACCCTGAGGGTGAGGGCGGAAGACTGCAGCCAGGAGAGCGCGGTACGCCACGACACTGCGACCATCACCGTGTCCGTAAGCGACATCAACGACAACCCGCCGACATTCCTCGACTCACCCTACTTGGCCTACGTGATGGAGAACGTAGTACCACCTTTGGACGGTTACGTTGTTACCGTGGCGGCCCACGACGCCGACACCCCGCCATACAACGGCCAGGTGCGATACTTCCTGAAGGAAGAGGGCGACCGGAGGCTCTTCAAGATCAACTCGACTACCGGAGTGGTGAGCTTGCTGAAACCTCTCGACAGGGAGCAACAAGCCGAATACACTCTCACCCTCGTCGCCATGGACACAGGTCAGTCACATACATTTCATAATATTGCTTACAAATTTATGCGACAGTTTATCATGAAATCCAGCCTACAGCCTCCATAAAACTCTAAATAATCGCACATTCAACTATTTCTTAAAATGTAAATTCAATTTATTGCTCGAAATTTTATGATGCATCTATAAATGAAGCCTTTCATTGTATTGACACCATATGGCTGATTTTATCTCTCAAAAAAATCTGGCGTTAAAACCTATTATCTGCAATTTTTCAGATTTGTATTATTGATTATTAATAAGCAGTACAAACCAATGGAATTAACAACAATTAAAATAGACGTTCCTGGTAATATTAAATTTACCGACCATCTTCATTAAAAACCTGTCACATCAGGTCATCATTTATCATAGGTCAATTAAATAAAATGTTTTCTCGATTTCATCAAGTCCGTTTTGTTTTTCCATTTAGTCAAAAATCGATATAATTTGACAGCAGCCCAACATTTGAAAACTGTATTTGAAAACAGGGCGCCTTCAGCCGTGATTTATACAAATGAAAAGTAGACTGGGGCTTAGAAAATGGCCTTGCGATGGTTACATTTTTAAAGTGAACCGGAGACTTCTATCATATATATTTTACATCAAAATATTGAGATCAGGTTTAATTGATTAGCGTGTCGAATTTTAAATTGGACGGCAGTTCTTAAATGAAAACTTTCAATTTCAATATGGACCGAGTAATTATAAATTGATTATTGAAATATAAAATAATTTTTGACGATAGAAATTTAAATTATTTAATTATATTAAATTAGTTAGTTACATTTATATAGCAATATATTTTATAGTTTTCCGATTTTTTCAGTAGATCGAGATGTTTGATTTTTTTATCGTATAAATAAATATAAATAAACATTGAATTTTTGAGGTTTTTCGGAATGAACATTGATTTTTTTTCTCGGAATCTCAAATATCATTACTGAAGATGACAAGAAGCCGTTTGAAAGAAGAAAAACAGCGAAATTAGGCTGATAAAAATTATCATAAACCAGGGCACGACTGCTTAGATTATCTGCAAGAATAGGCAAACTTTTCGCACTTTTAACCAGAATGTTAGAAAGTGGGTATAAAACCAACAAAATTTAAAGTTAACACTGAAGATGGCAAGAAGCAGTTTGAAAGAAGAAAACAGCGATGACTGTCAGACCAAAATGATCGAGTTTCTCGGCCACGACCTCTTGGATTCCCTGCAAGAATTGCAGAGGTTTCTTATTTCTATCATTAGCCTTTTCAAAAAATGAATACTGAAGATGACGAGAAGCCAAAACGCATCTGCCAGATCAACCCTGCTGGAAAAGGCAAACCAAAATGATCAGTAACGACCAATTTTTAGTTATTCAGGAACGTTTTATTCGCTTTATGAACTAACTTCGACTAACAATTTTAGAAAATGGGTTGAAATAGCAACAAAATTTAGAGCTCATGCTGAAGCTAGCGAGAAGCGGTTTGAAAGAAGAAAACAGCGAAGATAGACAGACCAAAATGATCAAATAGCTCGGCCACGACTTCTTGGGTTCCCTGCAAGAATTTGCAGATTTTTCTCATTTCTATCATTATCGCCTTTTCAAAAAATAAATACTGAAGGCGAGAAGTCAAAACGCGTCTGTCAGATCAACCAGCTGGAAAAGAGAAACCTAAATAATCAGTAACGACCAAATTTCAGGTATTCGGAAATGTTTTATTCGATTTATGACCTAACTACGATTATTAATGTCAGAGAGTGGGTAGAAAAAGCAACAAAACTTAGAGCTAATACTGAAGATGGCGAGAAGCAGTTTTACAAAAGAAACAGCGAAGATTTGCAAGAATTTGCATATTTTGCTCATTCATATCATTTTCGCCTTCTCAAAAAATTGGTAGAGAAAATAAAAAATACTGAAGATGGCTCAAGCCGAAACGCGTCAACCTAGCTAGAATAAGCAAACCCAAACGATCAGTAACGACTAAATTTCAGGTATTCTGAAAAGTTTTATTCGATTTAAGACCTAACTACGACTAAGGAGGTATTGGTTGGCTGAGTCTCTTTTTGTCGCAGCACAACGACATCAGACTTGACCAAATATGACCAATTTCTTAAATATTTCTGTCAAGAGATTTACCTTAAGTAAAACGGCCGTAATAAATCAATTAGGGCCAATTGGAAGGGCAGATCTCGCAATCCGTCATAGAAAAGAGTCTGGCCCAAATAAGGGTCGGCCAGATAATGCCAGAAAATTGCCCGCGCGCTCTTCTCACATTCATCACACTCCTATGTGATTACAACCGGCCTCATTTGTTCCAACTCTTTAGTGATGACGGCCTTTTGTCTTGCTCGGAGACCGAGGACAAAGGGACGAGAGATCCATCGCCTGACCTCTCGGCCTCCAATCGTCGCCGCACACACCATTTGCACGTCTTCAAACCCCTGATAAAACGTTATTAGCTCTCTTAACCACTCGTGGGAAAATAGAACCATAAAAACCCGACGGATAATCTTGAATTTGTTTTGTTTCATTATCCAATGATCAATAAAAAAAATAAAAATAATAACGATGACGTTCCTTTCCTTTCCCACACTCGCCCTGTCCTCCCCTGCCAATTTTTAAACACAAAAATACTAACTTAATTTATTTGTCTAAAACTTCCTTTACAATTAATAACAATAAAAAGTGAAAATTGAAATTAATATAACCCGAAAAACAATAACACTGTATAAAATATACACCTACCTTTCTTCGCATTGAAATCTCCGACATTTCTTAATTGAATATGGAAATGGAACCATATAATTTCAAACGTTATTAATTATGTAATACATTAATTATTTACGAAAAATGTAAACATTTTAAAGTAAAAGTACCGATCTCAAATATCCCAATTGGTGGTCAAGAAAAACATGTAAGCACGTCGCATAACTTTTTCCCGGTTTGCACTGCTTTTTTACATTTTTTGTAAATAAATAAAATGTGCAAAACACCAAGAGAAGCAAACATGATGAAATATAAATCCGTAAATAAAGTTACATTCCGAACATTTTTACATGTCCAGATAAATAAAAAGATATGAGAGAGAAAGATTGAATCAATATCGTTTTATTTAAAACATCTCGCAAACTTGGGTCAAGCACGACCTCTTTTACAATTAATGAGACAAGAAAAAAGAAACTGAATAACAATGTATAAAAGAGAGAGAGAGAGAGAGAGAGAGAGAGAGAGAGAGAGAGAGAGAGAGATTTACTGAAGACGGACAGACAGAAAAGAAAACAGAGTGAAGAAAGAGAGAAACATAGAGAGAGACTTGCAAACAGGCAGAAAAGAAAAGATAGAGGAGAAGAATGATCATTTTGGTCCTCCTATTCTCGCTATTTTGGTTTATCAAAGATATTTCTGCTTCTCGCCAACCTCAATGGACATAGACCCTTGGATAGACTAAAGCAGTGAGCAGTAGGCAGACCAAAATCATCTGTAACGACCAAACTACGGATTGATGATCTGATCATTTTGGTTTTTTTGACACGTACGACGCTTTTTTCGGCTTTTTGACATGCCTATCCTCGCTGGTTAGGTTTCTCGACATCTTCAGTGGACACAGACCTACTTACAGTAACTCAGCCAAAATGAAAAGTAACGGCCAAGTTCATCACGACACTTCGAGGAAATCTCACACTCAATTTGTGATTTTCACTTTGTTACTTGGGCAAAGTTTCTACACCACTGAAGGTGACGAGAAGTGGGCATGTTTGTCAAAAACGGCCGTTTTGATTTTCCCATCCTGTTGGTTTTGGTCAGTCAATCATGCTTCTCACCATCATCAGTAGGCACAGACCCACAGATAGACTATAACAGTGAGCAATAGATAGAGCAAAATGATAAGTAACGGCCAAGCTACAAGTTCATCACGCCACTTCGAGGAAATCTCACGCTTAATTGATAATATTACTTTGTCACTTTGGCAAAGTTTCTGCACCACTGAAGATGACGAGAAGCATGTTAGTTAGTTTTAACATGCCAACAGAGCGGAGACAGGGAACCATGGTGATCCCTAACGACCGAACCAAAGGTGGGTTCTGATCATTTTGGTCTGCCAACCCTCGTCGTTTAGGTCTGTCAAATATATTTCTACTTCTCGCTCAGAGATCTTCAGTGGACACAGACCGGCGAGGATCAAAATGATTGTTAACGACCAAACTCCAGGTCAATCACCTCATCACGAGCATCACTAGGAAAACTCCTTCCTATACTGATTTGGTCGGCCAAACCTGCTTCTCACCATCAATAGTGTGCACAGACCCACGGACAGACTAAAGCTGAGAGGAACATGCGGACCAAAACGTTTAGTAACGACTTCCAGTTCACCACCCACTGTATTTTAAAGGAAATTGACCCATTTATCAGTTTGGTAAAGTTTGTACGCCACGAAAAGTAGATAATCCAGGTATGTCCAAATTAATCTCTGCCAATCCTTGCTTTTTTGGTCAAATATATTTCCGCTCTCGCCATCTTCAGAGGTCACGGGGACCCAAATACAGACTAAAACACAGAAAAACGGTAAGATCGAAAATGATCCAAAACGACTTAATAACACAACCACCGTTGTCCTGATTTTTCAAAACGTCCGGATTATTTTTCAACGCGTGTATATCACCTGCTCCAGACCTGTTTTATTCCTTTCTTCAGCATTATTGCAGTTATTCGGTTGATCCGAATTTATGCTCATCCTCACGCCTCGGTCTCAATTAATAAAGACTAGCTGGACTCCACTGTACTGGAATAAATAAGGTAAAATACTTGGAATTGTAAATTGTTGAGCTTTTGGCAAACTTATAGTAAATTCGAAACAGCTTTTAATATTAAAAACAACAGTAGTGAATAATTGTTATTGATTTACAAAAAGGTTTATAAGGTTTTCTTTTAGGTCTTTCTCGGCTGAATTGAGCAATATTTGTTAAGTGGCTTACTTACGCAGGTGGACTTGGACTTTCTTGTC